ATCGAGTACCTGGACATAAACATCAAATATCCTTCTTCCAAGACTTTGAAAGGATCTATTGTCTCTGATAACTATCTCTGCAAAGTGAAGCGTTACCGTATAATTTCCATTTGCTAAGCAACGAAAATAATATGTCAGAGAAAGAGGAGAGAGGCGAGCTCTTGTATATAATTCGGAGTTGTTTGTTCTCAGAATGGATACATTTTGTGCTATATAGTCTTTTGAAGTAAGGGTTGTATCCCAAAAATGCCCACTGTTACTAGTTTCCCAAGTCTCTTTGACTGGAAAATATTTTGCTGGACCACCTGGGTCTTCATCCCCTTCATATGTGATGCCTCCAGTGGTTGTTGCTCCTCCGCCACAATTTACATGTATTGAATACTGATCTAGAAACAGCGGTTATTATTGGTAATTATATTGATTAAAGATAATGTCAGAGAAAATGTAGAAAAAAGACATGTTAGAAACCCAATAAAGAATTACCTTTTGAACAAGGGAAGTTCTTCAGGCAGTTATCAAGTCCTCTAAAGAATAGCATGACAAAGAAACATCAGCCTTCTTTAAGAGTGATCCAAAAGGAAAAGCATACAAATAATAAGAAAGGGGTTTTGTACATTTAGTTAGTTTAAAACTCACAAGTTTTTTCCTCCTGAAGAGCTTTTGAACAGATTTCTGGTAAACAGCAAAGAATCACTTAAATATCCAAGACATGAAAAAAGGTAGAAAATAAACAAGTAGAAGATAGCCAATTTTGGAAAGAGTTATTTTTCTTTTTTCCTTACAGATTCTCACGACAAGTAACCGGCTCAGAGCTTTCAGAGAAATTGTTGTAAGATAGATCAATCTGACTGTAAAAAAGAATAAATAAGTTGTAACTAACTGGAACTTGAAAACATGATTTCACAGGAGATTGTTTGACTAAGGGAGACGGTAGGCATACTAGCTATTATCTCTGGTATTCAGCCACTCTGGAATAGGGCCGGTGAGCAGATTACTTGTCAGGTACCTATTCAGTAAGCAACATATAAAACCACAAAACTTTTACTGGAAAAATTTTGAAAGGTTATGTTTGAAAGTAAAGAAGTGAATAATGTTAAGTGTTAACCAAATGTTAGAATTTTGCCACAACTTATGTGCAATTTTCATTGTTCTATTTGTTTCTGAAATATGACTTGCAAGTATAATAGTATAAGCAGGCTGGTTAATCATATTTCCTTCAAGTTACACCACTTATAGATTAATAAAAAGATTATTATGTTCTATGTTACCATAAGAATAAGAAGGTTTAAATTATAAAACAAAAACTAATCTTTTGACAAAAATGGGCCTAAGATCTGTGCAACTATAAACTTCAAGATCATGACAAAAGATTGGCCTTTCTCTAGGACTCGAAGATAGAGTTCAAAGTTCTTACATGTATGATGTAGTTGTAAGGCTGTTAGAATCTGAAATTTTATCTTCCAATTTGTTGAAGCTGAGATCTCTGTAACAAATAGACAAGTCAGGTAGTTCATAATGATGAATACAAAACTCTAAAAGCTAAATGTTCTCTACAAAACTTTTACTAAAATCAGGCCTAGCCTCAAAGTGTTTGAAGTGTGATAAATCTATAAAAATCAACATTTAAATGATTAAGTACTGACGCATAAAGAATCAAATTTTAGATTAAACAAGAAGAGAGAAATTACAAAATCTGCAGTTGTGATAATTCCCATATATATTCCAGAATTGGTCCTGATATATTGCAGCTCCGTAACATCCTACAACAAGAGTCATATGAGCATGTTCATTGCAAGTAGAGCCTGGTATGACCTTGAGGAATTTCACAAGCAGTGGAATGACTTACAGTCTGTTCAATTTTGTCATGTTTTGTAAGTTTGGAAACTTTGAACCCTCCCCATGTAAGTCACTGATCCTTCTGAATATTTTGCATCATGAACATTTATTAGAAGACAAAAGGTTTCCGGTGAAGTAATTTAAACATCCAAATTTGGAAAATATTGAGTGAGGTTGTAGAGATTAATGGCTACAAATTACTTTACAAAGTATTACAAGGGCGAACTCAGTAACTCACAGTTCTGTTAAATTACTCAAGACAGCTAAGCTAGGAGGGATGGGCCCTTCAAAACCACCAGCTTGAATCTCTCTGTTATCAGAACAGTTCAAAGCAATGGAGATTTCATCGAAAAATTGTATCAAAGAGAGTTCAGAGATGTAATAGATAAAGAAAGAAGCTTACAATTTCTGAAGTTGCTTCCAACTTTGAAAAATGTTGGGTAGCTTTCCAGTGAAGTTGTTACTGCTTATCCTACTGCATGAACCCACATAAAAGCAAGATTTTACCACAGCAACCATTATTAACAGTATGGAAACATATAATTCTCTTAAAACACTTACAGTTCTGTTAGTTTGGACAGATTAGAAAGTGCAGAAGGAAACTCTCCACTGAGAAAGTTAGCACTAAGAATGCTGCACTTACCAAAAAGGAAAATCAGGCCAACTAGTGATTCAAGTGTTGATTGATTACTCTATTTACTCAAAAAGGAAAAAGATGCTAATTATGCATGAATACAGTATAAGGAAAAAGGAAGCCTAACAGATTTTCCAGGTTAACCAGCTTCCCAAGCTCAGGAGGAATAGCTCCAGAAAACAGGTTGTTCTCGAGGCTCCTGAAAGTATATGATACTCATAAGAAACCTTAGAATGTTATACAGAAAAGGAGGAGAAGAAGTAGAATTGACATAAAAGAGATAAGCAAGAAAGATTGACTGAATAGCATACAAATATACAAGGGTAGTAATGTTTCCCAAATAGGCTGGAATTGACCCTGATAAGCTGTTCATAGAAACAGACCTGAAAGAGATTGATTCCTATCAGTTGAATATAAAGGCAAGAGTCACTTTCTAAAAGCAACCAACATAAAGTGCACTAGTAGCTTACACAAATTCCAACTTCATAGTAGCCCATTCACGGGGTATTGTACCATTAATATAGTTCCGATGAAGATCACTAGAGGCAGCAAAATAGATGTCAACTGGATATAAGCTAATCATACTTTTTCTGGTTTTAAGAGCAAAGAGAGAATTGTAACCCTTACATTGTTTTAAGGAATGATAGTTTGGCAAGTGACCGTGGAAGAACACCGGCAAGATCCTGTCCTCTAAGATAGCTGTACCAAAGGATATGGAGACTATCAAATTAGTGTCCAATTCCATCTGATCATTTTACAATATTACTAAATTTTGATTTCACAGAATTCAATTAGAATAGAAAATCTTGTGGACTCATTGGTCAAATGACAAAGACAAAGTGATCTCCCAGGTATAAATTTTTCCATTGCAAGTTGAGATATGCAAATTGAATCATAGGTATTCAAATTAAAGATAGGGAATGGTTTAGGAACTTAGAATAAGCATTTTCTTCAAACAAACTGAGAGGAGAGAGGAGAAACTTTACATGCCATCAATGTGACATTCACCATTAGGGAAGGAGCAATTGCAGGTGACAGTGCTGTTATTTATTGCCATTGCCACATTGGGCGGCGGCGATGGAGTAAACCAGCTTGATTTATTGTTGCAAGGGTTCTCATTGAAATTCCAATCCTTCTTTCCAATTTCTTCCGCTATCTCATGAAGAGCCTCCACTGCAAGTGCAAAGTAGTATCAGAAAAAAAAAAAACCATTACTGCAAATGTGCAATTATATGCCTTACATTGTGCAAGAAAGAATCAGAGAAACCTTCAATTTTCAGATATTCGAATACCCATTTACCCACTGGTTTTGGGAAAGTTGGGCAAAGATAGTGTTTTTCAATATTATATCAAAGAGATTGAAAATTGAATTGGAAAACGCCAATTAGAAAATTGGAAGCTGGACATGTTTACTTACTTTCAGAACTTGGGGGAAAAGGCGCTTCAGCTTGAGCTTCAACAACATTGTTTGCTCTCAAACACATGAGAATCAATGTGAGAATCATAATAATAAGGTGGGGAACTTTCATTGAAACAGAACTAAAGCTTCCCATTCTTATGTTTCTCTCCTAAATGCCTCAATCTCTTTCTCCATCTAACTGGTTAAGTTTTGTCAAACCCAGTTTTTTGGAAGAATAAAAAAACCGGTTCTTGGATCAGTGGAGTGGGACTGGTTGGTTCTCTGTTTTTTATTGCATTTGTTTATTATTATCTGGACTATATGACCGGATTGCATCCATACTTGCGATAACGAAATTTGACTTTTTTAAGTGACCAAAGGCCAAAGCTAATCAATGGAATTCATAAACATATATATATATTTCTTTAAAATGGTTAGATATTTCCTGACTGATACTTTTTATTTTACGTGCAGTGCAGGAGCAAGACTCTGTTTTTCAGCGGTCACTTTCTCTGTTTTGACTCAATTCTTTGGCTTTAGCTTTTTTCCACAAGACTTTCATATATAGTATATTTATTTTAGTAGTAGTATATTTTCTGTTATTTTTCTGATTTCTATTTACTTGTTAATCTGATTAAATTTGCAGAGGAATTTTACTACTATATGAGTTGCTTAGAAATTGCTAATCAAGTCACTCTTCTTGTCAAAGTTTATTGCAACTTGCAAGTAAAAATATTTCTCAGATCATTCTCCCATGCAAGAAAATAGGCTATGGATTTATCGTCTTCGTTCCACTAACATGTTTTTTCCTTGCCCAAAAGCAAGGGCAACTTGCCCTGGACAAACTTTTAGGTTAAGCAACCAGCCTCAGACAAGTCAAGTCAACCATGGATGGCTCGAGAGGTCCCTACTTGAACAGAACCTCTTTTCCCCTGACTGAGCTTAGAGACATTTGCTTCAGGCTATAAATACCTGACAGATCCTCTACTTAAAAAAAAAAAAACTTAATTAGGTCCCCCTACTATCAAAACTATCAATTGATTCCATCTACTTACACTATTGTTTCAATTGAGTCCCTTTACTCGACAAATTGTGTCAATTAAGTAAAATTTCTAACGGTGGGATTTGGGCCGTTTAGTCTCACGGTAGAGTAGAGGACTGAAAATCCTCGTCTCACCAGTTCAAATCTGGTACCTAGAGGAGAAGATTTTGTTTTATGGTAAAAAATTCATTCATCTCGGTTTTTTTCAACAAAAAAAAAAAGAAGAGAACAGGGGTCCTTGAATTGGAGTCTTTGGAACAATAATTGGTATCTTTATTAACGCAAGGGCTATAGCTCAGTTAGGTAGAGCACCTCATTTACACGCACACCAATGTTTTTCAGGGGAGTCTATCATGCAATCAAAAGAATTGAGGTGAGGCAATAGCTTAACAAGGCGATGATCAGTAGCTAGTCTGAGAGGATGATCAGCCACACTGGGACTGAGACATGGCCTATACTCCTACGGGAGGCAGCAGGTTACCGTTCATATGTTATGATATGAATATACCACACCAATTCGTTATGTATAGATGATGAGATTCCATTGGTAAAGCCAGAACCACGTCGGTAACCTAAGTTAATTCGCGAGGTTTTTTAAAACCACCAGTGAGATCTAGTTATTCTAGATGCTCGTCAAATCTAAAAAAAAAAAGGTTATTATTATTTGTATTCCTCGGAAACCCCCATCCACATCATCATTCAAGATTTCTTGGCCTACTATTGGCTAAACCACCTAGGTGGTCCCGCTTATGGGGTAAAATCAATATGTTCTAAGAAGAAATTCTTCGAATTGTATAATCGTCAATCACTGACATTGGTAAGCGGTCTGTTCTTGGAGCGGAAGCAATTTGCTTAGCTTTACATCCATCCCAAGGTATCATTTCTAACACATCGGTGGGGCAGGCTCCCTCGTTACTGCTCAAAGGAGAAGTAATAGGTAGGGATGACAGGATTTGAACCCGTGACATTTTGTACCCAAAACAAACGCGCTGCGCCCCTAGGTATTCTCTACCTACCCACCTGTGTCGGTTTCGGGTACAGGTACCCATTCTCTTATCATTTCCGATTGGGCGATCCATTAATCCAGCTGGCTGAAGATTATAAATGGATAATATTTATTTTCCCATAACAATGAATACTATGATTCACATTTCGAACAGGCATGAATACAACGTCTATTGGATAGCTTCTGTTTGCTTGCATTGTATTATTTGGTCTACGTACCGATGCCTCCTTGGTTCTGGACAAAGAAAAGCCAATACTTTTTTTTTCAAAAAAAAAGAAAAAAACATTCCCTGTACGCTATTTTACGTATTCCGTACTATAAAGAAATTGGGAATAGAGAATCTATATCAAAAAAGGGGTTGCATATTTTTTCTTTAATTTCCTTTGATAAAGGAGGTAGGGGTGCAGAGACAGCCAGGAGGTTTGCCTAGAAGCAGCCACCCTTGAAAGAGTGCATAATAGGTAGTTAGTTTATCAGAATCAAAGTCAAAGCTTGGATAATGGGCTTTGATTTTGTGACATCTGTTAGAGGTGTTCCAAAAATGTCTGCAATCGAGTAAATAGCTCTACGAACTAATGGATCGGATCGAATTGTATTTCTACCCTTGAACTCCTCTAGACCAGATGGGCCTCTAATCGAGGGTAAAACTCCAGAAATTAGAAATGCCAAAATAGGAATAGCACTTGATATTATTAGAAATGCGATTATACAATTCGAACAATTTTGAATTCGCCTGAAAGAAAAACTAAGTAGGTACTTATTTCTTTTTCTTTGCTTTTTTATTTGTATGGACTGCGACTTTATTATTCTTATCTTCTTTCTTTTTAACTCCCCCCCCCCCCCCCAAACTCAAAACCAAACATGAGAATTTCCTCTCATCCGGCTCAAGTAGTTCCAAGATCAGAATATTTGGAGGATTCTTCTGACCAAAATAGAAAATATATTAAAACACTAAAGAAGTATAATAAATTTTACTAAATGAATAATATAACTAAATAAATAATATATATATATATATATAAATAATAACTCAATTCGAAAATCTAGGATTTGAATTGCTATCCTATCATTTATCTTTATCCTCCTAAATTGCATTGATTTATCTTAAAGGTTTCATTTCAATATTGCAGGGTGTATCGACATAAAAGAAATCACGCGTGTTGAATGGATCCGAGAAGGTAGGGTTCCTCTACAAACCATTCGGGTCAAAATTGACTAAATGTAAAGGCGCATAGTAGATTGATATGAACATGACGAGCTGTCCCACAATAAACCCAGTTGTTACTGATACCATCTTCTGGGTTCCTTTGGGCAACCCTCTCAGCAACTAAGAGATCCATTCGAGAAACACGGAGACTAATTGAAGTAATGAGCCTCCCTATACTAATTGAAGTAATGAGCCTCCCTATATTGGGAGGCTCATTACTTCAATTGAGATAATGAAAAACCTTTTCATTTTTTAGTTGGAACTTTAGGCGAAGGATACTCCTAATGGGTTGAAGCCCATATCAACAGGCCTGCTGTCTTGCAAATAGTGACTGAGTGAGTTAGTTCAGCTCCACGACTTTTTTCCTTTGAATCAAAATTCACGTTATCTTCGGACACATTAGCTGACATGTGGAAAATAAAAAATAAAAAATATTCTCGGAAAATAAAAAAAGTGATTTTGAAAAGAAAAACAAAAAAAAACTTTTTGGTGTCAACTTGGTCCCTTTACTACAAAATTGTCAATTGAGTCCCTCTACTTGTAATTTAGTGTCAATTTAATCCCTCTACTTGTTAGATTGGACCAATTGAGTCCAATCCTCGAATAAGAAAATTTTGCACTTCAATCTACCACAGAAACTAGACCTGTTCAAGGGCAGGGCTACCCACCCAAACCCGTAAGCCCGACCGATATTTTAAAGGGCTTGGATAAGAATTTTAAGCCCATTGGATGAGCTTGGGCAAAAATTTAAGAATGGGCCGGACTTGGGGTATTAGAACAAAAGCCCAGGCTCGGCCCAAACCCGACCCCCGATTAAGTAAATATACTTCTTTTTTTTTTATTTATTGATATATAATATATATTAAATAAAATTTATACGTATACCATATTTTAAATAAGAAAAAGATGAATAATACATGTATAAATTGTTATTATCAAAAAGAGTAGTGTATTATAGGTAGTATATATCGTATTTTAGATTTAGAATTTTATTTATATAATTAATTAATATAGTTTAACTTTTAAAATAATTATTAAGAATATATTAGACGGGCTTTTGGATGGGTCTTGGTTTAAGTTTTCAATAATTAGGCCGGGCTTGGACAACAATAATGACATTAAAATTAAGGCTAGGCCCGACCCGAACCCGGCTCATGAACAGGTATAATAGAAACCAGTAGCGTCACCAAACCAGATTAAATGCTCAAAACAATGAGGCAAAAAGAAAAAGAGATTGATGCGATATTCAATCTTGATACATGTTCTCGAAGATAACATAAATTGGAAGCCGAAAATCTTGATTCCTACAAACTAAAGATCCCTATATTATACAACTGTTATGGATTTCTATATTATAGGACTGTTACGGATTGATAAACCAAAAAAAACAAAGATCAAGAAGAAGACCTAAAACTCTTGAGAAGCAGATCCAACATCATCCTTGTCCCTTCATTCCTTACTACAAGTTGGATGTGTCAAATATCTATCCTTTTTGTTTTGTAAACGACGGTACCATGATTAGTGATGACCCTTTGAAAATGATACAAGCTAAATTAAAACAAAAACTGAAAACCAGTTTCAAACTCACTTCCTAGTGCCCAAAGAATTCAACTTTAGATTTTTAAAGGCTAAAAATTCAAATAGGGGCCTAATGTTTAGGAAAAAGGTCATTTAAGGGCCTAACGTTTTAAAAAGGTCAAATAGCTCCCTAACCTTTTCGATTTGGGCCAAATAAGTCCAAACCAGTTATTTAGAATGCACTTGTTCTACACGCTCCGTTAATTCTAACAGAGGTATAACATCAATTGCTTAAATATTTTTCTTTTTTTTAACCAAAAATTTTTAATTAAAACCATTAATATATAATTTATATTTTGTTTAGAACATTCAAAGGGTACATCCACCGAACCCAGATATCGGCCCAGATCCACCACACCTCTGTCGTTCTCTGCCATCTCGAACCCTAGCAATCTTTTTTAAAATAAAAAACCTTTGTTTCTTCTTCACTTATGTCGTTTTCGTCCAAAGGAAAAATAATGACGGTAGAACGAAAGCAGACCAAAAGAATGGAATAGCAGCAAAGCAGAAACTTAGATTTAACAAGAAGAGAAAACAAGCAAAGGAGCAGAATCGGTGCCCTATGGAAGTGAAGAACAACCCAAACAAAGCTTATTGAGTCAAATTTCCTTTACCGTTTTCCTTCTTTTCTTCTCATACTTTTCTTTGTTATAAAATATCTAAAATCCCTTTCGAAAGATAATAGTAGTGAATTTAATGAAATTTTAAAGAGGGGTAGCAACAACAACAAAATAGAGTTTTAAAATGTCTAGTGTATAGCAAAATGGAAAAGAATCTAACAAAAAAAGAATAAAAGGGAGAAAGCAGCAATTTCGGACAAAAAACAAGGGAATAGTCGGACAACAAAAATCAACAATGAACCAGCATCAATCGACCAAAAAAAAACCAGCATCAAGATTTGAGGAGTATGAACTAGCATCAACATTCGGGCAACAGAAATAGCATTTGTGAAGCAATAAGGAATCAAAGTTTTGTAAAGATTAGGAGTTAAAAACAAAACAAAAAAAGAAAAAGAAATGATAGAGACTTATGGCCGGCAGCTTGGGTAGATTATGACGGTGGGAAGTGATCTGGGAAGCAAGAGAAAAGATTAGAGAAAGATATTTGTTTTTTATCTTATTTTTTTAATAATTAATCAAAATCCTAATTTTTATTTAATATTAACATGATTTATTTAGCAATAAATAAATAAATAATTAAATAAAAATAATATCAATGGTTATAGTTTTGTTGTGTGCCATGTGTCATAATCTAAATTCATGACGCGCTCTTAACTATTCCTGTAAAACACGCTCCATCCTATCTAACGGTTTGGACTTATTTGGCCCAAATTGAAAAGATTGGGGACCTATTTGACCTTTTCCAAACT